TGACTGTTTATTTCCTCTAATTTCTTCTAGGTCTACCCTTCCCTTGGTGAGAAGTTAATAGGATTCATTTTCCCCAATACTGTCTTGATAGAGAATTAGAACCCTGTAATTTCTTGGCCAAATGGCCCTGAGCTCATACTGGTTCTGTTCGATCCTCTTTCTCAGCTTCATTCTTTTTGCCCTGCCATTTGCCCACTTTGGTGTCTGAGCATTGCCCACACAATGGCTGCATATGTGTATTTGAGAGTATTGTGGCATACTGAGGTTGCTTACCTGGGAGCTGGGGAGGAACATGTTGAGGATGGAACTGGAGAAGAGTGTATTCAAATATAAAGTACTGAAATATTTTGCCCTATAGTCCACCTTTTCTCCTTTCCAAACAAATTGTCAGGCTTTCTCCAGAAAATACCGATTTCCTTCTTTGTTTTAAAAAGGCCAAATTTATTTGAAGAGATTATTAAGAGTCTCTGTAGAAAAGAAGAAGAAGAAGATGAAGACAAAGATGAAGGAGAAGGAGAAGGAGAAGAAGGGGGAACAGAAGGAAGAAGAAGGAGGAAGAGAGGGGGGAGGAGGAGGAGGAAGGAAGGCGAGGAAGAAGTAGAAGAAGAAGAAAGAGGAAAGAGGAGGAGGAGGAGGGAAGGAAGGAAGGAAGGAAGGAAGCAATCAAGAAAGACAAAGACTATGGAGACAGCTTTCCAAGAGTCGATTTCTCTGCTTAGAATTGCCTAGTAGTTGACCTGCAGCTCCAGGGTGTCAAGCAAGACCAAAGGTTGTCTCCCTCTTTATGAATAAATGTGGTAGAGAGTGGGGTCTTTTGTTATTTTAATGGAAAGAGTTTAGATGCTTTACTTTCCAGCTTGTTTTAAAAGTTAATTTTATTGTCAAGGTGATGTACACAGGGGTTACACTTACATACTTCAGGTAGTAATATCTTGTCAAACTTGAGACCTCCTCCCTCATGTTTCTCACCCCCCCCACAAGTTGTACAGTTCATTTACAGTAACAACAGGGGATAAACTATACCTAATTCGGGTAAACATATATACAATACACAGGGTACCAAAATCAAATACAGTGACAACAGGGGATAAACTATAGTGTGTGTGTGTGGGGGGGGAGAGCACAAAAGAAAAAAGAAATCACATAGTACATTAAAAACAACAACAACAAAAACAAACCTCTTGTTTCCATATCTTGGAGTTCATTTCACTTAATATCATCTTATTTGGTCATATGTACATATACACTATGGAATTCTACAGGTTTTTAAGAATAATTTGCCTTTTGTGCTCTACACAACTAAGGAAAGAGCTAAACAATGCAGGACTCAAGCATCTCACTGAAAAAAAGAAGGGCTTGTACTCCAAGTCAAATATAATTTAATTTTTTGAGTGATGATAGATATTTCCATCACTCTTGAATATAGTCTGTGAGTCATATGTGACACATTAGAAATTTAAAATTTCTACAATGTCTTAAACAACAACAATAAGAAATGCATATGTGTATATGAATGTATGCATATATATGTAATTTTATGGCTACTGAAGTAATTTTATGGCTATTAAGTATGTGCCTTGTGCCTTAAGAATGGTTTACATCTATTATTTATCTTATGGTCATGAAAATCCTTAGTACCTGATATCATCCACTTATTTTCCTTACATTATCTAAATCAGACAGCTTTATCTTGACTTATGTATACAAATAAGTATAATCTCAAATAATGGCTCCTGATGTATTTGGCAAAAGCCAACTAATACATTTCATGAGTATAGTTTCAAATTATGAACGTCTTTAATTATTACTTGGTGTTTAAGCTCCTTGAAGATTGATCATTCTTAGAAAAGCAAATTAATTACATGACAGACCTTATCTAGTATATGAAGGATGGAAACCTTAGGTTTCTAAAATGGCTCTAGAAGTGTTCTCTGAGTAATTTATAAAGGAGAAAACACTTGCTTTCTTGTGAAATGATTTTTATTTAAGTCCAGACGTTACTGGTCACTTTCTAGAGTGATTGTCTTTTTTTAAGTCCTTTTTTGTTATAATAAATGCTGCTTAATATTTTGAAGCATTTAAAAACTAATTTAAAATTGTAATTATTTTAAATATCTTCATAGCTTCTAATGTTTCTCTTTTCATTTAATATGCTATGTGGTCATAGTAATACCTTTTTCTTAAAGACAATAGCTCTTATGACAAAGAAAATGCATTGTATATGGCTTGACACAGACACACTAAAATTGAAATAAATCTTGTCACAGAGAAGTAATAGAACTTGCTAAAAATGGAATCCAATTATAAAAATTCACTTGTAGCTTGTATTTTCCACAAATGCCCACTGGAATAGAAACAATCTAATTAATCTAATATCTCAGAAGAAGCTGAACTAGAGCTCATTAAAAGAACAAGAAAGAGCTAGATTTTTCTACCTGTATAACTCAGGGAAACAGCTTCCTCTATCTTCCCTGTTCCTGTCTATAATATGCTCCTTCCAGCTGCTGAAATAGACTGCCTTCTGGAAATTAAAACCCACATGGCTCAGACCATGGCAGTAAATCTGGCAAACAGATGGTCCTGGGTGAATTGTTACACCTCTACAGAATACCTTGGGATTTTTATCAGCAGTCTTTACCCTAAGTAATGGGAATTAGAATGACAAATTAACAGTCAAACTTTCATGCTTATATCAAAATGGTAATTTAAAGGCTTCTTTCCTTACTCTATTCAAGCCAGAAATATGCAATTGACAAGTTAGATATCAGATGTGCAAATGTATATGTACTCATTTATAGCTCTCTCCATTCAAGCACTGCGATGAATTTTAGTGAGGTTTTAATTTCACATTCCAGTTAGATTTTCTTGGTCTCCTATAGGTTTCCTATAGGAAATATATGTGGATGAGTTTGGCTTATTTATTTATTTATGTATTTATTTATTATTATTTTTGGGTCCGGTTGTGGGGCCTGAACTCTGGGACTGGGCGCTGTCCCTCAGCTCTTCAGCTCAAGGTTAGTGCTCTACCAGTGCTCACTTGAGCCACAGCACCACTTTCGGCTTTTTTCTTTTTGCTTATGTGGTGCTGAGGAATCGAACCCATGACCTCATGCATGCAAGGCAAGTGCTCTACCACTGAGCCCCCTTCCCAGCCCTGAGTTTGGCTTATTTAAAAAACATTGAAAGTCAATTCATTTCACATAAAAATGATTTATTGATGTGTGCAATCAACTCATTTAATATGGTCACTGGCTTCTCTATGGAGAAAAATAAGAGAACAGAAAGAGCTGAAGGGAATTAACCTTTTCCAGTGTCTTCGGTCTAGCCCTTTGCTCTATCCTGCTTTATCTTATCCTAAGAATTGTTCTCAAACCCAAATTCTTAAGACCAAATGAATCAGAAATAAAAGGATTTACTGGCACCATTACAGATGCTAGTCAGAAATAAAAGGAAGGATCAGATTCTGGGCCAAGTTCTTGCAATTAGCAGCAGCAGGGGTTGGCAGGAGCTGGAGAAAGTCCTTTGGACTGGAGCTGAAAGTATATTTGGTAATTCTGGGGAAGAAAAACACCATAGCCTTTGCTGCTAATAAGAAGGGTGGGATAATTCATTCCTCCACTCCCTCATTTGCCATCTCGCCATCCCTCTGTGTAGCCCTTTGTGATTAACTTTCAATTGTAATTAAATTGGAATATCTCAGATTTTTCCTGTCATCACTAACATGTGGTATTCACATACTCATGCTTTCTTAGCTTTACTCAACATATGCTTCTATGTATATTATTTGTAAGTTTCTGAAAATAGACTTGAGCAAGGCAGATGTAATTCTTATCTTGGTAGTATTTTGATTCTGTCAGAGAAGATATGAAAAAAGGAATAGTATTTAAATGATATGACTACAACCATAGTAAAGAGTAAAATATTTCTTAATAAGATTGGAGATATACTTTGGGGAGTAGTAGAGTTGTCTAAAGCTCTAAGTTAGGTGAGGACAAAAATAACATTCTACGAGAACTTGAAGCAGATGGGGAAAATTTGAATATAGTGGGAAGTTTATTCAAAGTTGTTGTGTGAATGCTTGCTAGTCTGCATATATTAATAAAATTGTGTCTTACAGAATGATTTAGTCTTGGCACTGTGGCTTATATCTCAGCTACTTGGAAAGTGGAGATAAGATCATGGTTTGAGAAGGAAGGAAGAATGCAGTCAAGAATTCATTGTATAGACTTCAAAATTAAGAAAAGTAAAGGAAGGGATTGGGACAAAAGGAGTGAGAATGTAGAAGGGGCTGACACGGATTAAGATGCATTGTATTCATAAACTGCTTTGTCAAATGGCACCTCTTTTGTCCAACTACTTAACAATAATTAACTAAATAAAATTAGCCCATAAAACAAGACAGGTGTGTTAGTGCATCTCTGTCAATCCTTCTACTCTTATGATATATGTAGGAGAATTATGGTCCAAGGTTGGCCCTGGGCAGAAGTATGAGACTCTTTGATAAGCAACAACAACAACAAACAACAACAACAACAAACAAACAAATAAACTAGAGCTGAGATTTAAGGAGTAGAGTACCTGCCATACAAGACACTGAGACACTGAGTTCATTGCTCAATTTACTGCTATTAAAAAATGGCCTAGAGAAAGGTGTGTATGAAGAAAAAGGAGGAAGAGGATCTAGAAGGAATTCAGAGACAGCAGCCTGATGAGGGAGAATGTGATTGGCTCCTATTTATGGATGAGACTCACAGTCACTATGACTGTAAGTATAATGAAAGTGTGACTGTGATTTGAGTTTGGTTTTATCCAGTCTCATTCTTTTACAGAACACCTTTTCCTTGTTAGACAATCGAGCCCTGCTGAAGTAACAACTTTATTTCTTATCTAAATAGTGTTAGTCAAGAAATAATTCTGCATTTTCATTCAGATACAATGCCACTTCATTTAAGTAGTCCACTGTCCATGTGTTCAGCATAGATCTCTGTTTTGTTTTTCAGTGTTCCAACATTCCAGAGCCTTCCTGAAGAGATCCTCAGCAAGCTTGCTGATGTCCTCGAAGAGGTAATTGTTTCTAACCTTTGAACATTTTGAGATGGAGCCTCTTCTTGTAGCCTGGCTTCTTTCACAGCTAGTTGTGTGATGATGATGCACATACTACAGAAAGATCTTTTACAATTCACTTTTAGCTCTAGGGGGAGCTATATATGTGGCTTCAAATAAAAAGCAGCTAAGCATATCCAACATTTTACAGGTAACGGTGGGCAAATTAACTCTATCATAGAGGGAAGAAAACTTTTTGTTACAATAAATGTAATGTTACTTTGACTTCCATGGATGAGAAATGGCATATTTCTTCCTTATCAGTTAGTATAAAGTTACAATTATGGCCAGCGTATAGCTTCAGATTAGCAAACTTACAAAAGGAATGATCAGTTAGGCTTATATTCTGTTAGCATGCCTGAATGTGAAATGTCACTGTAGATTTATTTTCCCTGAATCTGTGAAGCCATGGTGTGGAAGGAGAGAAGGAACAGCATAGTTAGCCCACTGTTCACAGATTGCCTCAATGAGAATCTTAACTGACAAAAATAAAGGGAAGTTTATTTAGTTACATTGATGAGCACAATTCCTGATCAACAGTAGTCCAATTTCAGCGACTAAAGTTGTTGAACTAAAGATTGTATATGTATAAGCTTTGTTGTACATCAAAAACTTTCATTTTTTCCACGTATCTAGTGTTTGTTGTTTGTCCTGTATAAATCAAGGGCCTTGACGTATGACAAGAAATGAAATGGGGTCGGTCCTTTCCTCATCAAAGGAAAGAAAGATTCATTAATAATCATCCTGTTGCATAATATTTAATATTTAATTGAAGTGAAAATATGAGCCAATGAGAAAATATGAACTACTAAGACCATAAAACAAGCGAACCAACATAGCCTGGGACAAGGAATGAAAAGACTTGAGAGAATACAGTGAGCTGAGCTCTTCAGAATAAGTAGGAGTTGGCATTGTAAAGGACTGTTACAAACTAGATGGACCCAAATGGATGGAAAAAGGGAAAAGGATATGGTGATTCAAAGGCACCATGTGACAGATGTTATTGATAGTGCAGAGAATAGGTCCAATGAAATACTTTGGTTTAATTCTGCTAGTTAGATAAAAACTTTGAAGGTTTTTAAATCTCAAGAGACAGAAATAGGGGCAAAGTCAGATTAACAGAACTTTAAGGAATATTTCATAAGAGTTTGGTAATTAAATTAATTTGGTAAGTAAAAGCAAAATGAGATGCAAACAGCCAACCTAGAGCAAAGGGTAATCTGGGATATGCTTTCTCATCTGAATTTTATTGTCAGATTAATTTGTCTTGTTGCCCTTCAGGATTTCATTCAGTATTGATGGTTTTTGTCCATTCTATAGTTATTTATTGAATGCCTATTTTGTTCCTTCTCATCCTCTTGGCATGCAGCAATGAAGGGAAAAAAATAAGACAAATTTCCCTCTCTTAGCGGATTTCACCTTATTTCTACAGCGCCATGGGGAGAAAGTCAGGAAACTAGATAAATCATTTGGGGGCTGGGTGTATAGCTTAATGTCTCATAAAAACTTAGGAGCCAGGATTTAGGTGAGTGGGAGAATGATGCCTAGTATGCACAAAGCTCTGGGTTCAAGCTCCTGTATCATAAAAAGAACAATAGACCAGGTGTGTAGCCTAGACAGGCCTCAAACTCACAAGCTGTTGAAACCTGTGAAAAATGGAAGCTTTTCCCCCTCATGCCTTAAAACCTCAGAAAAGCAAATGGTTCAAGGAAGAGACACCAAAACTTGGGACTGAATTTTGTTGAAAGATAAGGAGAGAAGCAGGGTGGAGTAGGGGGAAATAAGGCTTGTAGAAACACAGGAAATCCTATAGGAGCAGGAGACAAAATGTGGGGGAGGTGCTGCACATTTCTTGCATAGTCAGAGGGTAGACTGTCCTGTGCCTACAGAAATGGTGGACGTTTGCACCTGGGGACAGTTTGGGTAAGTGAGCTGATGGAGTGTTTTGAGATAAGGAAAATCTGATTGGTTCTCTTTTGTTCTCTCAGTGGTATCAAGTGTATCAACTGAGAAAGGTGAGGTATGATTGGTTCCAACAGTGAGATGGGTATAAGAAAAATGTAGGAGCAAATGGGATTGGGTCATGTGGTTTCACTTCCAGACATCATTAAGGCCTCCCTTGTTGCTAATCCACAATTGACGTTAAACAGACAGGCTTTGTATTCCAAAGGACTATAGTAAGGTTAAGAAGTTGACCTCAACTGCTAGGAGCAAAGTAAGAGGGTGTTTCCATATTGGAGTGGGCTAGTGAAAGTTTACTGGAGAATTTACCCCAGGAGGGAGGAAACTGTGCGCTGTGTTTGGGCCATTTGCTAATTGTCTCTAAGGGAGTTAGAGAAAAGTAGACTATCTCTATGTTTACACTTGAAAGGGTTGGAAAACCAACCCTGAGTGGATACATCTCAAAGAGGCAGATGACAAATTTACAACAGGAATATAAAAGAATTTACTACAGAAATGTGATGCTTGCTACTCTGAACCCACCTAGGATAGTATCTAGATTTGAGGCCCACATCATCCAAGTGAACTGGTGACCTGTCTGAAAAGCAAACTGAAAGCTCTAAGAACACTTGCCTGAGAGTGGTGGTAAGGTTCTAGGTTCAGTCCCCAACATGGCTAAAAGAAATGTTTTCTCTCTCTCTCTCTCTGTCTCTCTCTGTGGTGTATACACACAGTTTCAATTTAGGGCCTGAGCACTGTCCCTGAGATTTTATTTTGCTCAAGGATAATTCTCTACCACTTAAGTCACATTTCCACTTCTGGCTCTTAGGTAGTTTATTGTAGATGAGAATCTCACAGATGTTCCTTCCTCGGCTGGCTTTGAACCAAAATAATCCTGAGTAGCTAGCATTAAAGACATAAGCCATCAGCACCCTGATTATGTTGTTTCTTAAGGTCTGGCTTTAGAATAGGACTAACCAGAGTCTTGAGCCAAGAAAATGTCTGAATAAAGTTTAGTCAAGATGGGGGTAGGGGCACTAAACTCCTCTTGGCCACCAGCCCATTTGATTGTTTGTTTTTCCCTCCCAACTTTATTTGTTTGCATGGACTCAGGTTCCAGATAGATCAATAATTGGCTTTAAATAGGACTGTTTTGTTTTTCCAAGAGAAAAGAAGCAAGGGAATAGCAAGTTGAGGGAGCTTGGGAAGAGTGATTACAAGCATGGACTGTGGAATTTAGAACTGGACAAGAGAGAAAGGTACTCTAGAATGGGGAAAGACCAATGAGAGGTTGCAGAATCTGTGGTGTTTAATGTACTGAGATTAAAGAATTTTGGGAGTTGGGCTAGAAGAGGAAACAAATGAGAAATGCATTGAAAATATTTTTGTCTGTTTGTACTGGCTACACCAGTAATTCTTTGTTTCAGTCACAAATTCTTAGTTTGAGGCTTATTAAAGTAAGCTGTGCTATGACTTATTGGTCTCTTTTATCTGTGACCACAAAGTGAAGCAGAACATTGTTACAGTTGACTTTTCTATGTCCAACCATAAAAAGAAAATTTGTAAGAAGTAGTACTGCTATAGTTCTCTCTGAATGTGCTGACCTGCAGCCTCTGTAAATATAAAACTGCTTTGTCCAGTTTATTTTATTTTTTTGGCTTATTTTTGTAGAATCCACTGAAGAACTTTCTGGTGACCTTGTGCGTGTGTATTTTATGTTGTTAAACAAGTAAGACTGAAATACAAATTCATTAGCCCCACTCAGCCTCCTAAAAAAGAAGTAAGAAACCATGAAATCCTTTTATCATTTCCTGTCTTTTCCACAGCTGTGAAAGCTTTTGCTATGTTTGTGTAAAAATAGCAACAACTAAATAATTCTGACCAAAGAAATATGTTCATATTGCATGTCAGATTTTCTAATCAGGAGATGCTTTAATTTATGCTTGGATTGTGTAAACCACATTACTCTCTACCAATGATGAATGAAAATGGAACAGATGATTTTGTACCCACATATTTGTTTTCAGGACATAAAAATGAAATAAATGTACCAAATACAAAGTAGATACATAAATATACTACCCAGGACTAACAAAATGTTTAACTCAAGTTGAATAAATAAGTACAATGGAAAGCTAGATAGAATTACACATCAGATAATGTGGAGAAATCTGGAAGAACAAAAGCAAAACTGATATCACATAACATTAAAAAGAACATGTTTGCATAATAATTAAGCTTTCTACAAATATCTGTAAGATGAAAAGGATCACAGATTATAGAAGGTTGCAGCTTTGTTTATTTGACAGATATTTCTGGAACACCTGCCAAGTGCCAGGAATTGTTCCAGGTCTTGGGAATTCAGGGCTCTTGTCCCCTACAGCATACATTTAGGTGAGGGAAGAAATGTGAAGAAAGGAAAATACTATCAAGTGGTAAGGCTACTCCGGGGTTGTAGTTGAAAGAAAAATTTTAAAATAAATTACGAACTGATGCTATAAGAAAATAATTCATGAAACAGGCAGCAGTCTGGCTCTAAAATGGTTCAGAATGCTCTGTCCTCTATGCAGACTATATTTTCAGCCACAGTAAAGGAAGCACATAAGAAACAATTTAATTGGTGAGTCTGACTTTACCATGTCTAGTCATTCTTTAGACAGGTTGAAAGCTCTACTTCTATGATTGACTGAGACTTCACCACTGGATTCCATTTAGGTTGCAGTTTCTTTATACATTCTGTTAGATTGCAGTTCACTTTGTACAGAGAAACCCCTAGACCAAACTTAAAGTATGTGTGGAGGCAACTTTAGGTCAAACATTATTCACTGTAACATTAATGAGGGAAGGTGATATTTAACTCAAGGCCTAAATGTAGATGCCAGGTGACATGTGTATGTGTGTGGGGAGGGGGGCGGCCTGTAGGGAGAGGGATAGGGAGAGAGAGGGAGAGAAGAAAGGGTAGAAAGTAGTCAAAGTACAAACAGAAACTGTCAGACAAGTTGATGTTAGGTGAAATGAAC